ATATGGTGGTTTGTTAAAAAAAAATAGTTTATATGGTGATGCGCCAAAACCGTGATAGTTCGGATGGGAAAAAGTATTTTACCCTATTTATTTCGTAACTTTTACTATTTTCTTCAGCAAACGTAATCGCCATAGCTTGGAGATTTTATGGAAAACATAGAAGCGAGAAGAAGTTCCTTCAAATGTCTCAAATGACTCTGCTGTTAGATTAAGCACTTTCTCTTTATATGCTCATCATTTTACTCAGCAAAGATCTCATCCTCCTGGCTGCCGGTGTAGCAAAGATCTCATCCTCCTGGCTGCCGGTGAGTAAGACTTTTTTCCGGCGGTTTTCCCCTTTTCATAATTTTCTTTTTTCTTTCTACTTCTCTTTGCATATCAATGGAAGATAAAGGTTATGTTATAATTTTGGCTTGCTTCATTTTATCTCTGCTTGGATTGAATTCTTTTACTATATTTTCCCCAATTTTGTCAAATCCCCTTTAAGTATTGTTGATATTTGTTCGTGTTTTTGGTTTAATACTTGAATTAAGGAAATAAAAACTGTGTCTTTGTTTGTGATGATTGTCTATTTAGGGATTTAAAGACCTCTCGCGTTACCCTTTTGCTTATTGAGCTTAATTGTGTACGCTTCTTAATTTATTTATTTTTTTTCTTTGATTTTGGTAGCAATTTTGATGATTTGAGTGTTGGTTTAAAAGAGGCTCTTTTGCTTTTGAATTTTGCTTATGCATATATGGTAGTTGAGTGAGTTGTAGGCTGAGCTGTGAGCAGAAATATTTCTAAATGTGGGTTTTGCAATTAAAGATTTTGTGTTGTGAATGTGGAGTTGTGTTTACTATGTTCAAGCTTTTGTTCTCAAGCCTTAACAAGTGTAGAATTTGCAAAATCTTTATATTTCTCGTATACTGTTGGCCGATTTTGTAAATGTTGATTGATTGTAACAATCGCTAAAGCTGCATGACTTTGAAAACGGTAGGTTCCCTCTAAGCACTGATTCAATAGGTGAAAATGAAATCCGTTGCCAATTAGCATTACAAACAAAAAAACCAAGAACATAACTGTATTCAAGTTGGTTTGAAATCCGGTCTAAAATGCAGAAATTATGACCCGATCAAAGACAGAGATTTTGGATGCTCCACTTCACATGATCGGATTCGAACTCGACGAAGTTTCAGCTAGTAAAGTTTCGGGCCACCTTATAATCACTCCAGAATGCTGTCAGGTACTAATCGTTTTAATGCCATATTATAATAATCGGTAATTTATTATTTATTACTAATTTTAACTCCTCTAAAATTTGAGATTGAGCAGCAATACCATATGCTTCATGGAGGGGTATCGGCAATTATATCTGAGGCCTTAGCAAGCATGGGAGCTCATATTGCCTCTGGATTTCACATAGTGGCCGGCATACAACTCAGCATTCACCATCTCGAAACTGCACAGCCTGGTGATTATATAGTTGCCGAGGCTACACCAGTCAATCTCAGCAAATCTGTTCAGGTGGAAAATTTATATGCTTACCATTTTATTTCCCCCATAATTACTGTTATTATATTGCATGTTTTTATAACAAATGCGTTAAAGGGTCGTGTATAATACATTTTAATTCAAAATCTTTGTTGCAATTTTTTTTTTTTTTTTCTTTAGCAGGTCTGGGAAGTTGCTCTGATGAAATGCGATCCTTCTAAAACCGATACTAAAACTCTGATTGCTTCTTCACGACTTACATTGCTTTGCAACTTGCCTGTGCCTGATAATGCTAGAGATGCTGCTCAGAATCTCAAAAGATACGCAAAGTTATAGACCGGCTTAGTTTTTCACTTCACATTTATTTTTATTTTTATTTTTTTCTTTTGTATAATGTGTATTTTCTTCTTATAGGTCATTCTGGCATACAAAATTGATGGTTTCTCTTAACCTAAATAAATATAAGAAAATGTTTCTTGTATTTTTTTTTTTAATTATTATTATTATTTGTAGCACATTGCCACTTTTTTGGAGGATTTTATTTTTACAGGCTTGTAAATTTTGTAATGATACAGTGATTTTTGTTTGCTGTATGTATGTGAAGAGTAAGAATAATACACAAGTGACACAAATTGTGTAAAAATTAAAGAAAACCACAAGTAACACAACCCATTAAAACAATTTATTCAATCATAGATCAATCCATATGTTACAACTTACAACAGAACAGATAGACTACACTTTATTTCTTATATTTTGAATGAAAAAAAAAAAAAAAATGAATAAAAAAAACCATTCAAATCTTATAATGTAGGACTTTGGTGTGATCAATTTTTCTAATCACCTATCTGTACATGAAAATGTACAAAAACACCTAAATTCAAAACCTCCTTAAACACAATCGTATGTAACACTACATGTAGCTTCACTAATCGCCTTTCAAACTTTAGAAGTTTTAGTTACGGCAATGAGGTGAAACCGTTCCCAAGTTCTGCAAACGGACGTTATTACAGACGGCTTTGGATTTCTCGCCACCTGTCCCGATCAAGTTCACATTTTGCAGAGTGATCCCTTGGCAAGGATGGCTTTTGCTGCATTTGAAATTAATGGCTTCATCTGAAATACTCGTGCCCTTGATGTTTTTGTATAGGATGTTCTTCACTTGTACGGCTGAACTCTGAAAAAAAATATACACGATAAAAATCGTTATTTATCATTATTATTATTCATTACTTGCAGTAAAATTAACCGTGTGTCGTGTCTTAACCTGTTCTTTGCACGGTTCCTTTTGATCGCAATAACTTTGGTCGATGATTATCGGGTTTTTCACTCCTTGCATTTGTATGTTTTGGAATTTAATGTTGTCTGCACTTCCAGAGCCACCCTGATTTGATTTTTATTAAGAATAATAGAAATGTTAAAACTTGCAATACAATACAACAGATGTAATAAAAAACAGTAAGATGGTGATAACTAACTTACCTGCCATGTCTTGATTCTAACTCCATTAGTTGTTCCAGAAAGTTTTGCTCTGTTAACTACAACATCTGAGACATACTCTTCTGAATTTTCAGAACCTAAGCTTCCAATACTGATTTTTCAAAACAAGTACCAACAAAAAAAGGGTCATGTTCTCTGACTAAAATTCTAATAAAGTTCTTGAATATTTTCATAAATATTTTTTTTAGATGCTTGATTGAATTTAACTCCTAACCTAATGCCATGGCCTGGTCCACAGGTAATATCTGTAGCTCGAACTTTCTCCGACCCACTGACGATCGAGATGCAGTCATCGCCTAATCATCGGTTCAGTATTTATTAAAAATTGTCGTCAATATATATACAAATTCAGGAAAAAACTCGTTATAAAATTTTTCACGGTGAGAAATTACGTACCGGTGCCAATATTGCAGCTCGATATTTGGATGTTTCGAGTGCCTGTGACATGAATTCCATCAGTGTTGGGGCTTTTCTCAGGGGCTCTCACATTAAGGTTAGAAGTTTGAACATTTGTGCACTTTTCAAATGAGAGATGAATTTGCTGTGCATTTTGGATCTTGAGGTTCTTCACAACTAGCTTTGTGCACTTGTAGAAGGTTAAAGCCTGCACATAAATGTACATTTATGCATAAATAAATAAAATATTTACATATATGTTCAAGAATATTATAAACTGAATTGAAGTCAAGAAGAAGCAAATATAAACATACAGTTGGAGCATTCTTGCATGGCTGCAAAAAGGGAAAAAAAAAAAAAAAATACCATTAGAGAATTATTAGAATGAACTTTGCAATTAATTAAAATTGCAAGAAATTAAAAGAAAGTAATTAGAGATATACTAAATAGAGAAAACTATGATAAATCACCTTAGCTTTATTTATCTTGCAAGAGTTTTTCCACCAGATATCTCCATTGCCATTAATAGTTCCACCACCTTCGACGACTAAATCTTTTACGCTGTCGAAAATTAGCCAATGCCTCGGGTCTTCTGCGTAATCGGAACGATCATCCGATGCTAGGATAACTCCAGAAATCTGTAACAATTATTTATAGTTTCTTAATAGTTAAATACAAATTATGTATATGTAATAATTTATATAATCAATTTTAGCTTTATTCAACCATTTACCTCCATTTTTATTTTGGATTTGCAAGGACCTGAAAATCGCAATGGTTTCAGAAGAAAACTTCTGCTCCGCGGCACCACAAAATCGACATAGTTTGGTGACGAACAAGCTTTTTCCCACGCAACTGCAAATGCCTAAAAAAAATTATAACTGATTAGTAACTGTAAGCTCAAACAAAAAAATACTACGACTAAGAAAAGATGAACGAACCCGAGTTATTTAAATTATAACATACCTTAGAATCATCAGTTTTCCCATCTCCTTTAGCTCCAAAGCTAAGCACATTAACTGTCATAACCGAACTTTCAAGTTTTCGAACTGACTTGTTGAAGTCTGAAAAAACCGAATTGTCGAGCGTAAAGGCCTCAATGGGTCTAGCATATGAAGGATAGGCTCGAAAATCGATGCCATATTCCTCTTCCAATACATGGCTACCAACATCATTGAGACTGTGGGTGCAAAATGGTCTTATAAACAGGGCAATTATCAAGAATGTGAAAAAGTAGTGCTTTTCAAGACCCATAACTTGCTGTTTCTTTTTTTCAAGTTGTGAAACAAATGATGATTGTTTTATCAATACCAGAAAAGAAAACCCTTTATGTGGAATTATAGTTTTTTTTTTTGGTAGTAATTATTATGGATGTGAGTGATGACAATATGCCCTGCATGTAACCTTGACATTTATATAGGTTTATGAGGTAGTACTTTTTTTTCGTATTTCATTTTTTAATCCGTTACTCTACGACTCTTACGACGTCGACATGGAGATGGGTGTGGAGAAGATTTAGACGAAAGGTTTCCGGATAAAACAGATGCTGACTTTTTTTTGCTCCATGCTTAATGTGAAAGCTACATTTTATTTGTTCTGTCAAAGATGAAATTTTTAGACACCCTTTTGCTTGTTCTTGCTTGCATGACATGCTGCTATTGTACATAAGAGTTCAAATTATGACAGTATAAGATAAAAACAATAAATATTCCTCATTTTGTAACAATCACAATATGTATCTCAACTCAAGTAATTATGTTTTTGTCATTTGAAAGCTATCCTCTTCTTATTACATCACCACAATTGTGTGTGCGTAATCGATAAATGGAAGGCATGCACGTGTAAATTTTCTCTTTGAAAAACATGCGTATCAACAATCGCATACTTAAACGCATCCTCTCCAAATATATATTATCCACGGAATTCTTGACACTTGGCTAACCACGACCAAACTTATCTAATTGAAGTTTCTTCAAGACAAAAAAAATTGAGAAAAGTTGTGGCTTTGGTTGATGAATAATCATCCTCCCATACCGATATATCATCTCGTTTGGTCAAGAAGATGTTTGATGCAAATTTAGGTTTAAGATGTGGATTATAATTACGTTAAGTCAAATCACAAGTACACGTAACTCAAATGTCGATCGAACTTTAATAATCCCTTCAATGATTCATTCAATGATAAGACTTTTAATGTTTCAAGATAGCTAGTTATGCATACAATTAGAATTAGGGTTATCATGATCAACACATCACATCATATCTAATATTTAAACCCTATCAATTCTATGCTTTTCTACAAGTTGATAATAAATCCATTTGTGGGAATGTTTTTTTTGTGGATTTTCCCATTCAGACTTATCCATCATAACCTTAACAAATTACATATGCTTTATGGTTGGACATTATAGATTATGTTTTGAAATTTGTTGTGAGAGGCCAAACTCTCAAAGCAACATGCATGCAAATTTCAGAATATAAGGAAATGTGATTAGTATTAGAGATGATACTTAGCAAGTATTTGATGCCCATCAACTATTTATGTGTTGTTCATAAAAAGTTTGTGTAACCTTCAAAAGAAGTAAAGTATAAGGCCTGAATTTCATGGCAACCAATGAACCAAATGCTTCTCTATGAAGATCTTGGTTATAACTAATAAGATCTGTAGGCTTTTGTTACGCTTGTGCAGGGGCCATTGTGCAATATTTCTTAGTGAGAAAGGAAATTCATGAGTGAAAAATGATAAACATTGCATAAATGCATTATATAAAAATGAAGTTTGTTAAATTCAAATTAACCATAAGTTTCTAATGTGTCAATTCAGTATTTTTTTTATTTATTTTTGTAAATTAAGACACAAACCATGAAGAGTTACACTACATCTGCAAATGAAATGAAAAAAACAATTGAAAAACTACCATGTATCACAATTTATTGTCGAAAAATATATAAGGTTGGAGTTCAATAAGATTCAATCATGTTTCCATGATCCAACTCATCGATTGAGACAATAAATTCATGAAATTCAAACTTTAGCTTGAGGTTGATACAATTGTCGTCTCAAATTTTCAAACCCAACGACTTAGATCTTAAATTTATTGCCTCAGACTATAGATCATAGGATCTCCAGAAATGGAGTTGATCAATTATTACTTTGAAGCATATTTGATATGCAAACTCTCCACAGATAAAAAATAAACGTTCAAGAGTATGTAACATCCTTGAGTCAAAAAACTCAGGTTGGAGTCGAGGACGTTATATATTCCCGCACGTTTGTTTCGGTATGAGCAGAGTTTGCATATCAAATATGCTCCGAAGTAATGATTGATCAACTCCATTTCTGGAAAATGAACGTTTGGGAGTATGTAACGTTCTAGAGGATTTTCAATGGAAAAACTCCAAAACTCTAGTCCTCTATAAACTATTTGCTATAAGAGGATATATTGTACATAATCATCTTACAATACTTCAAAACATCCTTTTATATTGAGGTTATCTTCTCCTTCAATTCAAGTCACTTTGTTACTAGGAAAGATGTCCTAGTGTATCTCATTCGTTTCCTAGTAGGACAGGTCGTCAGATCTTCATATTCGATACAAGATTTACTTTTCTATTCCAACGGGCTCCTCTATTGCTACAAGTCAATCCTGTCATCCAGACCCCTTATGAGATCACCTCTTATTTTGTCGCTAATAACTAAACTCTCCGACCTTTGTACCAATTAGTTGCATATAGTACCTAAACTACGGTTCTTCCTCCAAGTCTTCTCATTTTTCTGCCGACCTGTATCATGAGGTCATGCCCCAATCATCAAGCTCTAAAACCCTCGTACCGATGACTTGAGTAGAATCGATTATATCATTTTTTTGAGCTATTATAGATGCTATATTATTCACTATTTTTTAGTAGGATTTCTGTTAGATCAACTATCCCCCAACGATTACATTACCAATCTCGACAAAATGGTTTCCTAACGAGACTGTAGGACCTTCTCTAATAAACAAAACGAGATGCTCGTAAATTTGATTAATAATTCGTTAAATTAATGAATCGAGCTATGCTCGAGCTCAGTGAGTTCAAGCTGACTGGCTCGTTTACACCCTGGACAGTTGGACACATCATCACCCGTGCGGAACCTAGTTGCAATCACAATTAAAATCTTCACCATCTTCATAATTCTGTCACCACCTCGTCTCAATTCACCCTGAACCGAGGAATTTCTTCTTAGCATGCGAACAACCATGTATGCCTGTCCATCATGTAAGCCACCGGAAAATATATATTGGTTGAATAAGGGAAACATATATTAGTTGAAGCAGCAAACCACACACACACACACACACAAAAAGGTGAAAAAAAAAAGTGGAAAAAACCAGAGCTGGCGGAGGAGGAAGAAGAAAGGCTAGCCTCACTGATACAAAAATGCCCCGACATGAGAGCCCTCCTACAAATCCACGCCCACCTCCTAACCCACCCGACCCTCCCCACCCGAACCCGCTCCTACGCCCTCTCCAAGATCCTCTGCTTCGCCGCCTACCGCAACATCCGCTACGCCCAGGCCATCCTCTCCCAAATCCCACGCGCCACCATCTTCCCCCACAACACCGTCATCCGCGGCCTCCTCGTCCTCCGTCCCACCACCCCGGAGCCCATTCTCCACTTCAAGAAACTCGTCCGGAAAAAGTTCCCTGCGCCTAACACCTTCACCCTGACCTCCGTCCTCAAGTGCTGCTCCGTCCTTCCGGCGCCGGAAGAGGGCCGGCAGGTCCACAAGCACGCCCTCACCGCGGGCCTGGGCTCCGACCTCTTCGTCCGGACGTCCCTGCTCAACTTCTACACCAAGTGCGACGAGATTGGACCCGCACGGAAGGTGTTCGATGAAATGGCTGATAGAAGCGTGGTGACGTGGAGCGCCATGATTGGAGGGTATGCACGGGCGGGGTGCGTGAACGAGGCGCTGGAGCTGTTCCGGGAGATGCAGAGGGGTGGGGTGGAGCCGGACGAGGTGACAATGGTGAGCGTGATCTCGGCATGTGCTGTGACGGGGGCCTTAGAGCTGGGAAGGTGGGTCCACGCGTTTATAAGGCGGAAAGGGATAAAGAACGATATCGAGGTCCGTACAGCACTTGTGAACATGTACGCCAAGTGTGGGTGCATCGAGAGGGCATGGGAGGTTTTCGAGGCCATGCCGGTTAAGGATGCCAAGGCGTGGAGCTCCATGATTGTGGGATTCGCTGTGCACGGGCTTGCAAAGGAGGCCTTGGAGACTTTTCGGAGAATGGAGGAAGCTGAGGTGGTTATACTTTTCTTTTTTCTACTTTCTTTTTTCCTCTCTGTTTATGAGTTAATTAGTATGATGACTAGCTTTAATTCGGTAAGTTCAAACCTTTACCGGAATTTGGAGGAAGCTGAGGTGATTAAACTGTTAGTTTTTTTTTAAAAAAAATAAAAATAAAAATTATTTATATTATGGGTAACTACTGTGGTGACTTGCATTTTATTTAAAAATTATGATTTGATCATGGATGGTAGGTCGGGCTCCGATTTGCTATAAGACCGTCTAAGTATTACTCATGGGGATCAAATTTTCCACATGAAAGTTCAACCTTTTTGGGTAAATATCAAATATTTTCGAAATCAACTATTTGCATTGTTACGAAATGTTTGGCCTTTTTTTCGCTTGATGGCTATGATTGTCTGTGTTGCATCAGTTTTTGTGAATCACGTATCAAGCTCATGAATGTTGCGGATTTTTTTATTTTTTTATTTTTTATTTTCCCTTAATGATTCTGAATTGATGGTTATGCATGCTCTTTGCAAATTACATTTCAGGTCGAGCCTAACCATGTAACACTTATTGGCGTTCTATCCGCATGTGCACATGGCGGCCTAGTTGCAGAGGGCAAAAAGTACTGGTCGACCATGATAGAATCAGGAATGGAGCCGTCCATGGAGCATTATGGCTGCATGGTCGATTTATTCTGTCGTGCAAACAAAATCGATGATGCTTACGAGTTTGTGAACAGCATGCCAATTGGCCCGAACCCCGCCATATGGCGCACCTTGCTAGTAGCTTGCAAGAAAAACAAAATCTTGGAAAAAGGCGAGACCTCGGCTAAACACCTCCTCCAATTAGATCCCCACAATGCGGAGAACTACATACTCCTCTCGAGCTTTTATGCCTCGCAATCGAACTGGGTAAAAATGAGCAACGTTCGAATGCAGATGAGAGAGAGGGGAATTCGGGCCGTCCCGGGCTGCAGCTCGATCGAGGTCGATGGACGCGTGCATGAATTCGTGATGGGCAGTTGGTCACATCCCGAGGCTCAGGACATAAGGGGCGTTATATGGGAAGTTTCTGAGCGTGTTAAACTTGTCGGACACGAACCTTGGATTGCGTCTGTTTTGCAAAATGTGGGTAATGGTGAAAAAGAGAGTGCGCTTTGGGAGCACAGTGAGAGGCTGGCAATCGCGTATGGCTTGTTGAGGACTAAAGCACCCATGGTGATTAGGGTTGTGAAGAACCTTAGGGTTTGTGTTGACTGTCATGAGGTCACGAAGAAGATTAGTAAGCTTTACGCTCGAGAAATCGTTGTTAGGGACCGGATTCGGTTTCACAAGTTTGTCGGTGGGGTGTGTTCTTGCGAGGATTTCTGGTGAGTTTTGGAAGGCATTCGTTTGCCTGCAATTTTGGTCGTCGACGAGTCTTGATTGGGGTTTTTTGCCCATGATTGCTCTTTTTGGGTAGTCACTTCAAAACTTGAATGGTGTGTTTTAACTAGGACTGTAGACGAGTTGAGCCGTGCTCGAGATTAAGGTGCTCAAGCTCTTAACGAACCGAGTCGAGTCGAGCTCGGCTCGTTAAATAAACGAGCCACAAATCGAGCTCGAGCTTGAGCCGATCTCGAGCTTTAGCGAGTCGAGCTATAAAAAATTAAATAAAAATTTCCTTTTCGAGTAGAGCCGAGCTCGGTTCGTTAACCAAACGAGCTTTAAATGAGCGAGCTTGGCTCGCGTATTTAACAGCACTAGTTTTAACTTACAGTTATATGTAGAATGTACCAAGTAGTCAGAGAGATGATAGATTGGTCTTGTACGCATTTGCAAATTTTTTAGAAGTTAATTGAAAGTAAAAGAAAAGGACCCTTTGCTATCTATCTTCCGAGTGAAGATTCTTTCAGTTCTGTCTTAATTAATGGATTAACTGTCACATGTGCATTGATGCAGCACACCGAATTTTTTAACTGTCAAGCATCTAATTTTCACTAATTTTCTTGTTTTTATTGAGAGAATTAGAGGATAAATGAGATTATTGTACATAGATAAAACAGAGATTTGTAGTGCAGTAAACTTGAATATGTTGCAAAGTACAAACAAACACTTCATGTCCTCACTTCATAAGAGAAACTTCTGTGGCCTCTCCTTGCAAAAAAGCACTTCCAACTTCATGAAGCCAATAGACCCATTCAAGAATCAAGACCAATGCTCTCCCCGATACAGTAAAATATAGTGCTCAAACTTCGATTTCGACACGCCACCTGTACATCTCCTTATGTGGGACCGGAAGCAGCAGAGTACCCAACCCATTCGAGTCCTCATAGTTAAGCTCGATTTCCGTGCCATCAACCGTGCTTTTTGAAGGTCGTTGCGAACAGTAGAATCCAAACCGGCCACATCCCCTGACCTTGAGGCTGATTTTCGCAACAATCGATTCTTTATCAGTCGAGGCATCTGATTTCTCCAAAATGACCTCAAAGTGCTCGAGAGCACCGGTGGAGTTGAACATGTCGAGCAAACCAATGGGCGCGAACGAGATTTTTCCCTTCAAATTCTGTGTTTGGCGAAAAAAAAATGTGTGAGATTCAAGTTAAGATCAGCAAAAAAAAAAAAAACGACGTCAAAAGTTGCTAAAAGACCCACCCGAGCGAAAGGCTCACCTTCAAGGGGCAAAAGTGGAAGAGTTCATATTCGAGAACTTTAAGCGTTACTGGTAATGAGGCTCCTTTAGGCAACCGGAAAATCTCCCCCGAGCGATGAGCATAGATAACACTCTCTCCATTCCAATCAGGTCCACCTATTTCAGCTATAATGTCAACATCAGTGGCCCGAACAGAACCAGTGAGAGTCCCAGGCGATGCATCGTGAATGCGCGTTTTCTTGGCCACCTTGCACCACCCGGCCCCCTGGCAGTTGAACACTCCAACCACCCCCGAAAACTTGTTTGCATTCCAAATTTTAAGCAAGCTGCAAAATGGTTTGCAATGTAACTAAATTCTTTTTCCCTTCTCTGTATACATTTTTTTTAAAAGAGACGATGTTAGAACCTCGTTCCATCTCGGGCTGGGTCGACAAAAAGGCAGTCTACTGTGGGCCTTCCAGGAAACTTTGCTCTGAGAATGGACCCGTCGGGAAGTACCAGTTTCTTCAGAAGCTTGAAATTGTGGTGACCAGGCTTGTCACTGGATTACACAGCAAGAATATTCATGAGGTTAAATGAAAGAAAAAGATCAACAAATATTGCAATTTCTATAAATTACAGATTCAGTCGAAAAATTTTAAGTGTAATTTACCTAACGTAGATTGCACACCCACCAACAGCTCGAGCCGCAGCATGATACTCTGCAGCTGGGTGCAGGCTCTGCAATACAAAAAACTCACTAATCAGCAACTCGCAAAATGCAACTTAACGTGATTTTTAATAGTTACACGATGTAATAAGTAGTAATGCTCACATGGAACATATCCCAGTCGGGCTGCATGAACTCTCCTAAAAAGTTGGGGAAGTAGCTCACTTGACATTATGCTGCTGCTTGGCTTTTCTCACTACGAGTTTCAGACCAGATTCGTGTTCGTCGGTAGTGTCTTTCTTGTGGAACTTTGCGTTCTCCTTAATTCCCGTTAGCCTATTTGCGAACCTGCAGATTTTGAGACGTGTTGATGTATGTAAAAAATCTTACTATACGGAGCTTTTTAAAAAAACAGTAAAAGAAATGAGTAAATTGTCTTACTGAGCTCCCTCTTGTACAACACAATTCGAGCCTTCCTTGGCTTCACTTCCTATCTGTTGCCAGCCATCGTCTATAATCAAAAAACGGGGCTGCGTGCCTCCTTCGGACAAGCTGCAAGAGTGAAACTATTCATTTTAGAACACTGAGGAAAAAAGAATACGGGATAAAAGAAAAAAGGGAGAAAAAAATCGAAACTTGCCTCTTTAGCCCTTCTTCAACACCCTCAGCTGTGACATCAGTGTAGAAAGCATCCCATGTACACCACCCGAACCAGTCGATAAACGAGGGCAGCTACATATTTCAAGAAGTAAATGCATGCACATATAAGCATAAGTTGGAATTACTATTGCCATGATTCAGTTAATAACATTTTCTCACCTTTTTCTTCTCTCGGTGCTGAAATGTTTGCAAGTGTTTCTCGACAGCTCTGTCGAAAAGAATCATTTTTCAATATCAGCATAAAAACATTCAGTGCAAACAAAGTAAGGTAAGGGAAAACAAAACAAAACAACCCCTTACTTCACAGCCTGGTTGATCACTTCAAAAGAATTTGTTCCAGCATGCATGTAAACAAGGCAATTCCCTTGATTGGTTTGAACTGCATTGTCTCCTGCAATAAAAAAAGGCAGTGCAAAAAACAAAATACCAGGGCCCTCGCATTCTTACTAGGGTTAAATGACAAAATTACCCTTGGGATTTTCCTTAATCACAAAGCATCCCACAATTTGCATTCCTATAAGTTACCAAACCCCCTAGATTTACATATCAAACAAATTGCCCTTACCTCAAGGGAGATTGATTTTAAATTGAAACTGTCTTATTTTTGTACTACTTACCACTCTCGAGACAGATCTCGAGCTCATTCTTCTCGTTTCCCTGAAGAACAGCGCGAAACTGGCCTTTGAGAAGTGGCAAGAAGACAGTGTAGATAGTCGGGCTGTCTTCACGCTCGACTTCACTTGTATCCTTAGTCTCCACAAGCATGAATTGGGTTTCCAAAGGAATTTCCTTACCACAGGTTCCCATCCTCTGAGTCATCCACCAGAGCTTGAATCGGAATAAGCACATGAACCGTACCCCCCTTTTGAAAATTTACATGAGCAGTCATTCAAAAACTAATGATATGAAAAGTAATGAACAAATTTCATGAGAGATGATTAAAAAATCATAAAATGGATATATAGCCACTTACTCTAGGACACCAACTGGGAAAACATGCAGGCTTTTGCTATGCGAAGCTTTGGCACCGATATATGCACCAGCCATCGAGCCCAATCCTTGGGTAAGAAAAATGTTATCAGGCACCCCTTTGAGTATCGTTTTCCTATGAACCATAAGGTTCCCCTCGTTGATAGATATCTTTGGTGTAACCGTCATCTCTTTACTTTCTAAATTTGTTCGACAATTTACTGCATCACAATATGCTGGCTGGGTCAGTAACTAGACTACTGGCAAAATTTCAAGCAAAAAATGCCAATCTTGACTGAATTGCGGGAGAATGAAAATTTGCACGAGGAACTTTATATGCTTTATCAAGAGCAAGAGTATATTCAGAGCTTGAAATGGGACTTCCAAGCAAGACAGAACAAAATGTTACAACTAAGTACTATCTTAATGCAATGTACAGGTAACATGTTTTGAACCGAAAGAACATGCGCCATATGTACAAGTTCAATACAAAATGTTCACTTTTTCAGACAATTTATGAAAATTTTCTTTTTACCTGTTCACATTTTTTTACACAATTTCATTAGAGAGACAAACACAAAGAAAACAAGAAGAATCAAAGTTACTGAAGCACTAATAGTACCTAAATTCATAATAGTAACAGCACCAAGAAACGAAAAATAAGATCGAAATCACGGGAATTTGAACAAAGTAATCATAAACGAAAATGGATTACTTCAATCAGGACTACTGGACAAGGCCAAGCTAGTTTGAGGGAAGCTAATTCTAACTTCTAGGCCTTGAGGGATGCTGATTTTATTATTTATTTTTATTTTTAAATCTATCCATCAAAGAAGAGAGAAAAAACTCATCAGCTACTAAATCATTCAACGTCCAGCGACCTCTTATGGTGGTCTTCAACCTCTTATCCGCACGACAACACCAAAAATTAAGGTACCATAAAAGATGCTGAAAGTACAACCACAGCAAAGGATCGTCCCGTGATTTTTTGAGCTTTCAGCATAAAACAGAAGCATAAAGACGAACAAATGTGTGAAGATAGTTGGTTGTTTTAACCCAAAAATACCTCCGGCGAGCTTTAAAATCCTCGACGAGCTCGGAGGTACAACAAGGGAGGCAAGACGTACAACCATACTCGTCGGAAAAATCAAACGCCGCAAAATCAAATGCCCGTAAATGAATTACGTTTTCTTCGTTAATTCAACAGAAACTACAGAATCTGAACCAAATTTTTCGCGAGGAAGATGAATTAAAACCGTCAATCGCCAAGAAAAGGAATAAAAAAGTTACCTTGGGCGCCTAAGGAGTAGCTTTGGGAGGTGAAATTGAAGGACGAGCTGCTATGTCCAACTGGATACGTATACGTAAATGTGTAAGTATATATATAGAAGTTTGCAGTTGAAAACAGAAGCTCAGTTTACAACAGAGGAAATAAGAAGGAAGTTGTTGATTACAATGGCGGAGCTGAGTTTGAAAACGTTGCAACCCCAAGAGTTTATATACTGAGTCAACTCAGGTAAGCCTGTCTGAGTTACAAATAATCGAGCTCAGACTCAGTATTTACAAAGAGCTGTTAATTAATTGTTCCAGGCTTGTAAATGAGTCGAGTTCAGCGAGTTTAAGGTGCTCGAGCTCTAGCTCGAGTCTTTATACGAGTTTGAAATGAAGTTCGAGCTCGACTAGTTATGTGCTTGGGCTCTAGCTTACACCATATTCTCCATAATTAGAAACTTCTAATAAAAACTTGTGTACTTTTATTTATTACGTGTACGTAACAACAAAATAGAAAGCTGTAGAACAAATGTATTATTGCTTGGCTTGAAGGGATTAGTAACATCTCGAAGCTTTGCGATATAATAATATAGGAGAGATATTTAAGATATGAGTAATCATTAGACAATTAAAAATAATTAATATTCCTTAATTAGGACACGTGTTGTCTTTCCCTGTAGCAAATACCTATTGTGCACAATGATTAGTGTATATTATTTTTAATAAATGACAATTGGGAGGTTAAATTTCCAAAATTGTCAAAGATATGTACTGATTACTGATGAAAACTGAAATTTTAATTTTATATTATTATGCTATGAAATTGGTGCAATTGGTTGAAGATATTGGGGCTGGGCTACGGCTGGCCCAACTTGGATACTAACTTTTGTTTGAGTTATTGGATTTGTTTATTGTGGGCCAGGAACAACTTTGAAGGTTAGTCCAAAATCAAACTTGGATCTTC